ATGGCCAGATACCTCGCGAAAGGAACTGTCAAATCATATCTAAGTGCGAGGATCTCACCACCTTGATCCTTCAAATCATAGATAAGCTTGGAGTCTTCACCATATTTACCTGTCAAGACATCCTGTGACAAGAGCAGTATTAATATTAATAAAATTCAAATTAATATTGCCTTTTATAACAACCTGTACGTTTACTCTTACCTTTAACTCGAATACAGGCGTATCTATCGTCTCAGCGCCATGACGCTTGAATACTGATATTATTTTTTCCAACACTCCCAATCGCAGTGCCATTTGCTCCGGATTATAATCCCTCGTGCCTTTTGGCGTTTTGAGGATGAGTTTATGAGGGCAACCATTCTCCTCTCCTAATTGTGCTTTCAGGTCCAATAACTTGGCAACTTCCTCTGCTATCTACAAATAGGCAAATGAATACGTCATTAATATACGAAACATGGCATCGCTCTCGTTCTCAGATATCCAGGGTACGATAGTCGAGAACGTCGTACCCACCTGTGGCGTCGTAGACATCAGTACGTTGCGATTGTTTTTCCATACGACGGGGAAAGAATTGTTGCGTATCAGACGTAACATCATGAATGGATGAAGGAATTACAAGGCAACCAGAATGAAAGAGAAAAGCCCCCTCAATCTCTTGATTTATCAAACTAGTCCAAACAGCAGAGATAATATCAGTAAGCAAGCCAGTGTAAAGCTGTCATTAATTATTGCCATAGTCTACAATTAACAGAGACTGATTGTCTTCTATCTTTTTCTCCTTTGTCTTTAAATCTTTCAGAATTTGGGAAGAAAATAAAAGAAATTTTTTAGGAAATTTAATTTTTCAGAATGAAATATGTATTCATTTTCCAAACGGTATCCATCTAATTTTTGCCATGTAAAAGCTTCTACTAGGTTTCTCAGCTAGGCTTTCTTTTTCTGAATGTTAACCATGGCAATTTCGCAATAATTTATGACAGCTCTGCTTGCAAGCAACCAGCTGTCTCACCTTTTTGTCTAGCATACTTTTGCTAATATAGTTAGTGCCCTTTAGTCGCTCGATTTTTTCTACCAAGGAAGTGAGCGGCGTTTCCGCAGCAGGAAACGCTAGACGCTCCTCCTGACTAAAGCTTTTCATGTTAATATGCCATCTGTTCAAATGCGGCCACCTTGCAAGCTCACCATTAAGGACGATACGCAACATATCGAACAGTTCGGCGTCCTTGGACGTTGGACACCAACCACAGACATAGCTGATATCCGCAAAATCACCATTTAAGCCTTCTAATTCAATATTTATATCAGACTGCTCTCTGTATTCCTGAGAAACGAGACGTCTCTCTAAAGAAAGGCTTAGAACATTGGCAACAAAAAAAGAGAAATCTATTCTTTGTACCTGTCTCAATAAAGATTGCTGTTACAGGCACTTGTTGCATCATGTCCATTGTTACGAAAGGTCTGTTGGCTTTAATTGCATTTTCATATTAGAAAAGAAAAATCGGTTTCGTGCTTTGTTAGAGTCCAGAATGAGAAAAAGAGTTCAGCATAGAAGTTGCAGATGAAGCCAATAGACCTTGCACTTACCTGGTAATGACGTGAAGGGGAGATCAAAGCATAAATCAGAGAGAGCATGATGCAACGTGGAAGACAAAAACATTTAAGGTAACTGCTTAAGGTAAAAAGACCAAAAGACCAGTTTCGAGTGCGATCGATTTCGCGGAAGTAAGTGAAGGTAACATGATGACACGATGTAATTGAGCGCGATGTAGAGCGGAGAGGTGCGGAGCCTCCTCCACGATAAGAGAAAGGAGGTACATCTGTCACGGGCAGATGACGCGCCAGGGATTTTCCCGGAAGAGAGGAAAAGGTTTGAAGGGTTGAGTTCGCGTACCTGCGTGTTATCAACCTTTGCGGCCTTTAATCGTCGCACCAATTCGCCCTGCTCCTTCACGCGACTCAGCAACGTATCCCTCGATGTTTCGTCAGCCATCGCTAGCATATAGTAGTGTAGCACCGCACGCGGTATCTTGGAGCCCTAATTCCGTGCGTTCCGCTCGCCGGCGCATTACTTTATAGCCTGAAGAACGAATCGCACCGCGGGAGTGATTTCCCACTCTCCACAGCGGCGATTCCCTATTGCAGCACACTTCACTCGAGAGAGGCTCGACTGGGCTCGACTGTGGGCTCGACACTTGTGAAACGGATCTTTCTGTTTCTGTAATCAAACCACTCAACAGATCCAACGCGTACACGTGTAGCCACATTAATATATGAGTATACTTATGTGTGCGAGCGTGGGAGAGAGAAAAAAAAAAGAGGTCTACTCCCCGTACTTACACCGCATTGTGTATGTTTTCTGCATTTAGGACGAAATGGATATATAAACAAAACAAGACAAACAGAACATTGAAGAAAAAGAAAAGGGAAAAATAAAAGGTTCAACCGTGAGAGGGATACTTTTCCGTTGTCTTTTTCGTGCGTCTTATAAAATTGTCCCCTTTACGAGAGGGAGATATATAAACAGACGATATACGTTTGCGCATGGAAAGTGAAGGTAACGCGATCTACCTGAAGTTAAGAACGTGATGTAACCACATTCCACATTTCAGCAGACAAATTCTGAACGAATTGTAATTTAAAAACGAATCGCAAGTATAAATCACACGATGAATGAAGGATTATATGTCCAGTAATTGTACATTTGAACTATCGAGTGATATAATTTTAATAAGTTCGACATGTATTGCATACAAATGCGTAGACGAAACGTGGTTAATAAAGAGGGGAAGATCTTCCAACGATGCGTCTGTGACGTTACGCGGCCAACTTCACGATGTACGATAATCACGTGGAATTTTCCTTATACAACACAAACTTGATCTGTGACTTTTATATAATTGATTTTAGCTTGATCAAAATAACTTGAAATAATTTTAAATTTAATTTTAAAATTTAAAATTTAATTTTAAACTTTAAATCTGTTTTCTGCCAATGTGGATCAATTTTAATCTCGATTTTTAATTTGTATTCTTTATCTTTTTTCTATTTGTAAGAATTAGAAAAAAATGAATAATCAAGTCATTAAGTTGAACCGAGATTAAAGTTAATTTACATTCTTGCAATTGGCATAAGAGACTTAACAATCCGCGTGTATGGTTTAATATTTTTATTCAGGATATGCACGTTATTAACGTACATAAACATTTTTACATCGCGATTATATTCATTATTCTGCAATATGCAAAATATTCTGCATTGCTCGCTTCAATGACATCATTATATCTCTTAACGTGAACGTATCGATGGAATTATTATCTTTTCATTCCCGTTTCAATCCCTATCTAATTTAATGTACGCAGTTATATCCCACAGCTTGTAATCAATAGGGAATTTTTGCAATATCGTTTATCCAGATACGGTAAACGTTAAGATCGTCACGTTATCTTTGTCTTAATAACTATTTAAAAAAAGATAACGTGATTTTAGCGTTTACCTTATCTGGATCTACGTTATCAAAAACTCCTTAATCTTTCTGCGATTCAGAACAAGCGCGATTAGATTTTGTGGGAATTATGGCTGATTTCATCAGCTTTCCTTCAAATTAATTAAATAACGTCCTTTAAATTCATCCTTAACGCACAATTTCCCTGTTTTATGCGTAATTGTAAAATTTAACAGCGGATAATTGTAATTATCAGGTTAGATAATTCATATTTTATATCTGTACAAATTTTGTAAGTTTTTAATTACTTCACAAGCTTCGATGAATATTTTCATTCCTTAGAACAAGAAAAAATTTATGGAACTTTCTAAGATTTCATTAATTTAATATTTAAAAATTAATAACTCTAATAATTAGATTTTTTTAAATCTTAGACACTCCTAAGATTATATTAATTTAATATTTGTATTTTAGTTTGTATTGGTTTAATGTTGAGAATGTAAAAGCTTGATAAATTAACGTGTAAAAATTCGCATGTTTTATCATATTTCATGTTTGACAACTTATTCTCTCCATATCTCGTTATGACACCTTCATGAAGCCGTGGCGGCAAAAGTCAGAAAGAATTTACGCTCGAACTGACATTCACTAACGTGAGATGCAGATATTAATTAAATTTCTTTATTCGAGGAAACAAATTACACGATTAGCACAAATCAAAATCTGCAAATGGAGCATTTTACGACCTAGATATCTTGAAACTTAGCACTGGACGAGTATGTGTTTCATTAGATTTACATTTATATATATATGTATATAAATTAGGAATTGTTAAACATTACGTCACATGTTATATTTTTTTGGTCTATTAATGTACATCGTTTTTACATGAATATAACTATTACATGATAATAACCTAGTACATAGATTGAAACATTTATTTTTAAATATTTGAAATTCTCTCTCTCTCTCTCTCTTTCTTTCTCTCTCATATTTTATTAAAATAATTACTTGCTCATATTAATCCTTTATTTAATTTAATTATTTGAACTGTTTTCTTATTTTGTTGGGTTTTTGTTTCTCAAAAGTTCAAATTAGTCTTTTAGGATGTGTGAATATACATATTTTAATTTACAAATAAAATTACAAATTAAAAAATCTAGAAAAATAAAAAAAATTATCGTTTTACATTTATATACACTCGAATCTTAATCGATAAAATATATTGATCTCAATTCATAATGTAAAAAATATCTATAAATTTTTTATGTCGGAACAATCATTATAATCCGTTTATTTAGGTTTTTGTTTGCGGTTTAGAGAAAGCGTTTTACTTTCAATTGTGAAAGAACGCGTCTATAGATTATTGCGTTCAGAGAAATTGGATTTCAGAAAAGTTAATGTCTCTTTATTTCGTGAATATAATAAACATATTAATCTATAATAATTTATTATTTATTTTATAAGTACTCTGCAATATACATATATTCGGTAATCTTTAGAAATTAATATTTCATTAACTATTGCGAAAATTGTAAAATGGTAAAGGACTTTCCGTCTCAGTTTAGTCCGCTCTATCTGTCCACAAGTTCTGTCGGATGAATTGTAGAACACCCTATATAAGCTGAATAATTAGGTAAAACTTAATTTCTAATTTCTTTTCTCATTTTTAGTATTTCTAAAATAAAAATTTTTAACATCTTTATTATGATTTGTCGAGCATATTATCCTGCAAAAAAAACTTGAGTTAGTTATAAAAGTTTAGAATATTTTGAATAAGATGTCAAAAATTTTTTTTTAATAACTCGTTAATTTTATAGAGATTCGTAAAATTGGGCAATCTCTTTTAGAATATATATATAAATAGTACAAAGATGAAATGAGAAATACTTTGTGAATTTCCAAGAATGCGTGTACGCTTCTGAAAGCTTGCTGAAATGCTCTCTCAAATCCGGCATTACCAACATCCTGTCGACAAACAAACCTCGCTAATTATCGTTAATTCATAAATTCTACGATAGACAACATTATTGTCTCTTAAATTACTTTTATAGAGGGTGCGTTTTTTTTTGTTTTGTTTACGAGTTTGTAAGCTTTATTCTATCTTCCTTCTAGAAGTAGTGAGTGATAAAAATAGAATAAAGTTTATCGAAATCAAACGTAGCCAAAGTCTCTCAAGTAATACATACAAAGAGAGGATCTCTTATGATAATTATTCCAGATGGATCGTATTTCCCAAGTAGTTCTATCTTTGCTTGGCTATTTTCCGGTTGCATTTTATACAATACGTCGATAATATATTCGTCCATTCCGAATATCCAGTCGAATTTGTAAAAATCATCGGAAGTGATCTGTAAATTATTCCTGATATAATTCTATCTCAAATCTCTATATATCTATTGCTGTAGAGAAAATGTTTTTATCCAACAATTATGTAAAACTGATAGACAAACAGAAGGAAGAATTAAATTAAATTATAAAATTTGAGATACAATTAAAAAACATTGGCAATAGAGAAACAGGGAATAACAAATTTCAACTTATCTTGAAATTTATTAGTATCTATTTTTAGTGTCTCTGCTTTCAACTGTTTATTAAGCTTAACATTTACTTTTCTTGCAATATGAGAGTAATCCGTAATTCCAGCTTTCTGAAGTGTGGCTGTCGCTCTAGGTTCAGGATCATTGCCTACGTGATAATCTAGAATAGCGGCGCTTTCGACCTCCCAGAAATCTATCAAATCCATTTTTCGGATTTGATCTTGAAACACCGCTTCCGCCATAGGAGAGCGACAACTATTCCCTGCAATAAAAAATTAAAATGTTGATTCAAAATAAAATATTGAAATTCTAGTTTAAGACATTGTTGAAATATTTTGAAATGTATATTAGATAGCATATATCATCATATCATATTAGATAGAATGCATAGATTTATTGTAAGAAAAGCCAAGAGCGCTTTCAGCTATACTTCAGTTTGGTGAGTCATATGTACATTATATTAATTACATAACTCTTAAAAATAGAAAATTATAACCTTACGTGAAATATTACTTCATCACATATATATGTTAAAACGGGTGTGATCCATTATTCAGTGCGAGTACTGAAAATTTGTCATATATTAGGTTAAGTAAAAAGTCATCGCGTTTTTTTAAAAGACATCTATCAATAAAAACCGCAATTACTTTCTTACCAACAATATAAATATATCTTAATAGAGTAAAGTTTCAACTTTAAAAATCTCTTTTTTAAATTATACGATACGACAATTTTTAATGGAGTTATGAGCAATTAAAGTCAAAATAATTCTTTTATTTAATCCGCGATAACTCAGTAATCAAAAGTCGTAGGAATATTAAAAAAAACGATTTTGTAGGGAAAGTATCAAGCTTTCACGATAGATAATCGAAAATTGTCTCAAATTCGTTTTGGACACGTTACAAATCCACAAAGTGAGAAGAAAATGTTTCTTCTTTTTCAGCTCGTAGTTTTATGTAAAAATTATCAAACTCATATAAACTTAAAAAATGTGATAAACTTTTAAAAGTAGAGATTTCAAGCTTTAAAACCCTTTTTTTAAATTTGAATTTCATTCATTATTAACGAAGATATTGTATATACACTTTGAGCTAAAAAATACGCGATGACTTTTTACTCAACCTAATATTATTGATTTTCAGTACTTGCAGTGAAAAATGGTAGTTAACATATATAGTTCTTATTTTAATTGTATTTTTTTTATAAAAAAAACTTGGGATAACAATAATTACTTAGGGTGTATTTGGGGAGACACTATTAGCGCTAATTATGCGCAATCCATCATCATAGGCATAAAACAAAGATGACGCGAAGTATTAATATAATATAGATAATATTAGGATGCGTCTCCCCGAACACATTCTTAATTTCCTCAAATTTAATTTATAATTAAAAATAAGTAAGTTACATTACCTAAACAAACCATGAGAACTTTCGTCTTTCGCATCATATTGGTTTCTTGCTATAGTAGGTAAGAAAATAGTAAAAGTACACTGAAAATTTCTATTAATATCTATCTTTAGTGGAGACCAAACTAAAAAGACCACTCTTCTTCGCACCATCCGGTCTGATTAGGTTTGACAATAGACGGCTAGGCATGCTTACCAAGTGATTGGGTGGGTTCAAGCGGCAAAGCAGCTACGCATGCTTACCGAGCGATTGAATATGATAAGTTGGATTTATAAATAACAACCAATTATTTATTTATATAATTTTCGCTCGCGGCGAGCAGGCTAACCGCTTTGTCAACTTGAGCGCAATCATTGTCAAACCTAATCAAACCGGATGACGCGAGGAAGAAAGTCGTTTTTTTAGTGGTTTCCACTAAAAATAGATCTTAATAGAAATTTTGCGCTTATAACACATAGAGGAAGATAGATGGAGACAATTTGGCAAGCATACTAATGCGCTTTCTAAGCTATCCTCATCTATCTCCCTTCACATGTTGTAGTTGCAAGACTACAAGTGGGCAAGAAATTGCATCACTTAAGAGCTTTTAAAATTAGAAAAATTATACCCTGGAACTGTCAAAGGACAATATATTATATACCACTGCAGTAGCTTGATAAAATAAGATGATAAACCCTTCATAAAAATATATTTGCAAATTATTTTTCAAGTGTGTGATTAAATAAAGTCTTTATCAGATAAATAAGTCTTCATCAGATTTAAGCAACTTAAATGATACTTTCAGAAATTTATTCAATATTTTGTTGCTCAAATATTTACTGCTGAAAATACATAATAATCTAAAAAAAAATTTAACAAAAAAACTTTTTATTAATCTTTATATATATGTAATTTTTTAAACATAATTATTGTTGTGACAATATAAATTAAAAGTTTGGAATAAGAAAAGAACATATATTGTCTTTACATAGTTTTTTAATATTTACACATTTCTCACATCTTTTTCTTATATGATTATCTTAGAACATACCAATAGGTTTATGATCTTATGAATAATGTTATTAATATTCATTTCTCTATATTAAATATGAAGATATATTCTTTAGAAACATTCTATTTTGTAATAAATTTAATATTTAAAAATTTTGTACCTATATTCAAAACATATTCTTCTAAAAATATATAGGTAAATTGATTCTTTAGAATAGTCTTCTCATTAACTTGAATATTTGTTTAAAAATGCTGTTATGCATGTTACACATTGATCATAGGCTTTCTGAAATCCTGCACTATCACTGTCCTGTAAAAAAATCATGAGACTAATTCAATGTATCTTCAATTTTTGTTTTCTAATTCTATAAACGCCAAAACGTACATAATAAGGATCTCGTATTATAATTGTTCCGCTTGGATTATAACTTCCTAGAAGTTCCACTTTTGCTTGGGAAGTCATTGATTTTCTACTAAGTAAATCTTTAATATTTTCCTGATCCATACCAAATATCCAATCATATTTATCGAAGTCGTCTAATTCGATCTGTATATAATTAAAGACATTTAGATATATAATAATATATAGTAATACAATATAATATTAGTTCCAATGATTCTAAATAAATATTGAATGATTCATCTAATTATAATTTATCTAATTACAATGATTTATTTTTTCTTTCTTAACAAAAAAATTTGATCATAAAACTACTTAGTGCATAGAAAACCCAAGTTGTAATTGCTATTATAGTAATCGTGATAATAAAATTTTAACGTTTATTCTTGAAAGTATAAAATCTTACTTTGCGTGCTGTATGGGAATAATCAGTAATTCCATTTTTCGTTAGCGTATCCCGGGCCCTAGTATCTGGTTTTTTACCTGTATGGTATCCAATAATGGCAGCGCTTTCTACCTTCCACTGATCTTGCAAACCTCTCTTCTTCACTTCATTCTGGAATACAGCCTCTGCTATAGGCGAACGACAAATATTGCCTGTAATATAAAATATAAATAATCATTAATTAATAACACAAATATAGCTTATTATATTTTTTATTATGTTTATTAGAAAATATCTATCTATCTATATATATATATATATTTACAAAATTAAAAAGTATAAAATGTTTTTTGCGTTTTTTTTGTGATATCTCTACAATACCTAAGCAAATCATAAGCACTTTCTTCTTCTTCTTCGATTCTGTCTCGACAGAAGACATAGTATACCTTTGTTTAATTAAAAATTATTATTTTTTTCTTAAGTACACAGTACAATTCTTCTCTGTTGAACGGCCCTCTCTATAAATATTTTCCTTCAATCTTTCACAAGAAAATAAAATAAATTATTGAAAAAATGCAGAAATTTATTGACAAAAATTTATTACTCTTACAAAAGATCGTTAGTTTCGTCAAACATTTTTTTTAATTTAATTTTTTTTTTAAACCACACATTCCAGACAATAACATTAAGGATTAAATTTATATAAGATGCGTCACATCATTTGTCTTTACTTTGCGTGAGAAGCCTTCACGACTTGTCCAGATTTATTTAGTCCAATTGACCAATCACCCAATCAACAAAATTTATGCTCATTCATGAACAGAAGTTGGCGACACTGGTGGACTCTTCTGGTCTGGGGTTTTAAATGTTTCGCGTCAAATCCTATATCATTCCTTTCCAGTGCTTAACGTTGTCCTGTAAACACGTGGGTGCGATTGTAATTATCGAATTTAAGGCGAAATACTCTGCGAATCATGTAAGTATTTGCACTACTTTATTCGCTGTTGCGTGAATTCCGTTAATCTGTGTTGTGGTGGGCCCAGTCAATCCGGGAAATAGTTTTTCACGCTCATTTCATGAGCGGCATGCTACTGCGCTTTTGCCCGTTGCGGTATCGCCCGTTGCGGTATCGCCCATTACTACACAAATTATCCGGTAATTGTTAATTGACGTTTCTGATCGTCGTATTTGTATCGGAAAAGCATTCGACAAATCGAGCTCGCGTTATATTTGTAATTTTTCATTAAGCAATTCTAATGTTATTGTCATACTATGTATCGCACAAGATTGCACAATATTGTACGTATACATTTTTACTTATAATAAAACAAATTATATTTAAATACACTCGAGAAAGTGCTGTTTGACAGAAAGATTTATAATTCTATTCCCTGAATACAGATTTTTGACAGCTGAATCTATTTTACAGAAGAATGCCGTTGGCTAGAGATTTTCTCCATCCAAGCCCCATCGAGGAGAAAAGGAAACACAAACTGAAGAGGCTTGTACAGAAGCCTAACAGTTATTTCATGGACGTCAAATGCCCGGGCTGCTATGCTATCAAAACAATTTTCTCACATGCCCAGAGGCCAGTAGAATGTGACGGATGCCGTACGATACTTTGTACACCAACGGGTGGAAAAGCACGGTTAACTGAGGGATGTTCTTTTAGAAGAAAAGTCCAGTGTTAATTTTATCCGATATGTATTCGATTTCTCTCTTTATATTCGATAAATAAACACGATCACATTATGTATTATAGTATTATTTCACACTGCGAGACATTACCTACCTGTATAACATACAGGATATGCTGCAGTAAATGCAAAAGATTCGTAGAATTTTTTTTAGGAACTTAAAATTAATTTTTTATTACCATAAATTGTGTTAAACTATATAGTTATATCGGTATTATTACATTGTCGCAGTTTTTTTAGCCATGTATTCCTGGGTTAATTGGATTTCTTTTAAGACGTAAATTCAATTAGATATCTTGGAATGTATCCAACTTTTTATAGCATATTTAAAATAAAAATTTTATAATTTGATACATTTGAAAATATAAAAAATTGATCATAAATTTAACGAAAACTGTAATTAATTTTTATATAGTCTATCGAGTGTATATTACATCTTATTGCCACTTGTGTGCATATATATATGGTTGAAAATATAAAAAAACATTCTCCAAACACTTAATATTGTACAATTATTTTATAAAATATTCATATCTTCGTTAAACAATTCAAAACAGTTTGAAGGCCAATATAGCTTCTAAATAATCAATAGAATGGTACAATATGACAAATATTGTGCAATAATATTGATCGTCTAGAAGCTATTTAAAATTATAAAATGTATATGTTATATCTTTTACATCTAAAATACAAAAAACTACATAAATAAAGACACAGACGTGATCATAAATCTTTATTTCCATACACGCCCGTGGTCATTTTTATAATAAATTCAATCTGGAACAGATTTCTGTAGTACTGTGTTTCAAGATACTCTCGAAGTCTCATGCGGATGTACATAGATAGCTCCTATAAATAAGCTGCTGCGCATGTTCGCATTTTTTTTAATAATTTGCATCTTGCAGCAATATCCTAATTGATGAAAGAAAGAAAACTTAAGAATGTAAAATCGCATTGTACGCTTGAAATACTCCAGGAGCGACTTCTACGGATCGAGATTTTAAGGACAGCTGCAATAAAAAAAGATCGATAAAATTTAAGATAAATATAAAATGTCCCATGTAACAATTTTTTTTATATAATTTCATTAATTTAAAAAAAATATACACTAAGTTAAGATAAAATTATATTTGATCTAAGAATAAGAAAACTTTTCTTAGACAACTAACTGCTAATTTCTATGGTAATCATGTTAATAAAATTTAAATATGATACTTGTATAAGCGTACCGTGACATCGGGATTGCCCGGCTGAATTTTCAACTCGTTCAATACCCAGACATTATTCGTCAGTTTGAGAGACTGATAAAGCATATCTTGTCCCTCTACATTCCTCTTAGCAATTGTGAAGACATTATTCTGTTGCATCTTTTGCACCACTTGATCTGCAGTCAACATTACACCGTTTAACGTATATTGTACCTGCAAATAAGATATGTTTCTTAAAAAATTTTTTCTTTTCGTTTATTAATGAATCTTACAGAAAGCCATTTTTCGACAAGCATAGAAAAAAGTAGATGAATAATACCTCGTTCTGTGCAGGTATATCTTTCCAGGTAGAAAGAAACACTCTCTTGTCCAATTGTCCATCTTCCGCGAAGTATGCATTCATAGGTACGATGCACGCGAAGTAGAAAACATCAATATTGTTCTTGATAGCAACTTGCAGATTGTTCAAAGGCTCCATACGTTGCACCGCACCTGCAGTAGACAGTATAATATTCGCTTCTATACTCGATCCGGGACTCAGAGGAGCTGGAACTTGCAACGGAGCCGCCGGCGTTAAGCCAAAGCTATTTTTGTTGAGCTGTATCGCGAATCCTCCCATAGGTTGCATCGCTTTGTTTGTGAAAGTCATATCCATGCTAATTTGGCCATTTCTACAACGTATTTTGCATAGTATAATTATTTGCAATCGAGAGGATGTAAAATCAGATGTTCTCTGTATCCATTAATATATATTTATATTAATTACTTTCTCGAAAATGTTCCCCAAATATCAAAACCTTTGCCTTTTTCGGCTGGTAGCCAATTAACTTTGGGGGATATGTAAGGCGTGGGACCTTGGTTAAAGCCAAATATATCGCCGAGCAGACCCGTTGTGCTCTGAGAAACGGTTGGTGCACTCGTATTGTCGTTCAGGATTCCGTCGAGGCCACCACCTAGAAGATCCAATCCTAGTCCCGAAGACTGTGGTGCAGGTGCCGGTGTGACCATTGTCGGTCCACCTGCAACAAAGTAAATCAATAAGTGAATAAATAGGACGGTCATATATTTTTTTATCTGTATAAAAAATTATATAAAAAAAATACGTTTGAAATTTTTCAAAGCAAAAGTATTTACACAACACACTTTTTAAATATTATTATTACACATTTTAATTTTCTAAATTTTTTTAAATTTAAATTTGCTCACCGATATCCATACTGAGGAGGTCGCCAATCAGGGAATCCTGAGCGGGTATGACCTGTGCGTGGGGTTGTGCAGTTGTCCGGTTAGATTCCTCATTTGAGTTGCTTCTAGCGGGCAGCGACTTCCTGGCGCCAGCTGCTCTACCTTCTACAAACGCAGTAGGAGGTTTGTGATATACGGATGCTAAGCTTGAGATATGGCAAATCAATTCATCCAACAATGTTGGTTCCAACAGATCCGTCTCTTCTGAGATCAGAGGCTTTTCTGCAAGCACTACCTCCTTAGCCGCTGCCGGATCAGTGCTTAGTAATCGCCAGTATATGAAACCGCGGTCTCGCAGATCGGGATTGTCAGAATCCTGCGTGGCCAGGCTGAGCACTTGTTGAACCAACTCCTGCGTATCCGTGGGCCTCTTGAGGAACAATTTGACAATTGCAGTGAGCAATTGCAACTGTACTTGTGTATTCTCGTCATGGAAGCCTTCCAGGAAGCTTTCCAGTAATTCATCAGCATTGTCGATGCGTTCCGCGTACTCTCCAATAATCCATATCATGGAGGCACGCGCCTCAGGCTCATCTAGTGTGTCCAAATTCTCGCATAGAGTTGAAATTATGCTTTCGTATTTGTTAGGATACTTGCGGAAGATGTCTTTTATTACCACAATTGCTTCTTGAACAACGTAATTTACCTGAGAAAAATTAAAGATATCAATTAATTAATAATCAACTAATTTTGAAATATTAAATTTTAATATTATATATTTAAAATATTTATAATATAAAAATATATTAAGAATATATACTTAAAAATTTGATATTTTAAGATCTGTGATATCTTTACTTTTGTTTGTATCAGATCCAGTAACGTGGAGACGCAACGTTCTGCAGACGGCTCGACTTTTATGGCGCAGCGACCGATGGCCCGCACAGCCTTCCTTACGAAGTCCACGTCAACCTCGGTGGCATATTCCTTCAGTTCTGACAGGACTTGCGCGATATTGGCCTGTGACGCTAGACGAATCATAATGTCCAGCTTCTCCAATTTTACATAAATAGGATCGTTGTACTTGACGAAGAATACTTTCATCTCGTGTTTTAGAATATCTGGTCGTTTTTGCACGATGAGATTGATATTTCTCAATGCAACATATTGAACTTCTGGTTCGGAGCTCAATAACGTAACAAGAGGAGGCGCCAATTTCTTTGTAAGTGTGCCGACAAAATCCGATTCGGATTGTAGCATCTCCATTAATTTCATTAATACCTAAATGTCGAAATAAATTTGATTAATATATAAAATCAAGTAAAAAAGTTTTTAAAATAAATTTAAATGATTTAGGAGAAGAAATTATGATCAATTCAATCTTGTTAGCGCTTAGATGTGTGTGTTGATACTAATGTACAAAAATTTTAATAAATTGTGTAAAATAGGATTAATCAAGTTCTTCTACTGTATTTATTATTTATCTGCATTTACTTTGACGGCAGAAAGAACGACTGCAGCGTTAGCATGCGCCAAACGCGGAGTGATCCGTTCGCAAATACTTTGCGCTTCGCGATCATCCTTCGGCGAGTAATTTGCTAATGAATCCAGGATGAAAACTTGGCCCCATTCCGTACATTCGTTAAGCGCTGTCAGAAGTTTGTTTATGGTTTGCGCGTTCATTTCTACCAACGGTTGACCGCTTGGACTGGCCTCGTTGATCTCAGACAAAGCAGCTACCGCATTTGCGACAACCTAATAACAATATTAATTAATCAACATATATTATCCACAAAACTGTTATCTTCAGATAACAATGAATTTTAATCTTTTCTGCTTAACAAATTCCTTTTGCTTTATTATACCATTTCTAACAATATTTTATTAAATATCTGTATAAATACCATTTTAAAACGTCTGTTGTATTATTTAACTTATCAAGTTTTGATATTGGGAAAGCTTACATACCATTGGATTGCTGTCGGACAGAAGATCCTTCAACTGATCCAGGAATCCCTGGTCCTCGACTAAGGCCGCGTTAATGTCATAAAGTTTGGCGACGCACACGGCTGCGGTCTTGCGTACATACGGATCCTCATCCTTCAGGCATTTGCGCAGCGGCTCGCACAGATACTCGGTTATCTTGTCAACACGTATACAGCCCATCGTGCGAACTGCCAGAGCGCGAATCAGCGGATTTGGATCCTCGCAGTCCTGCGCAAAAATCGGGCAAGCCAGGGATTCAAGTCTAGTCACAGTAGTGGCTATCTATCTCAACCCATGAACTTTAACAAAGTAGAAAGTGGCATTGGTACCTTTGTCATCGGAGATGTCGCTAGCTCCTTTTGCGTGTCAGAACGAAAAAGGTCAAATTGGTCACCGTCACCATTTTTCATTAAGTGTTAAATACTATACTTATCAGCCATTTAAAGTAGTGTGTAATCGAGAACTGATCATTTTTTAAAGAGCACGAGGTATCATTCTTCGTTAGTGTTTTTCTTTCTTTCTTTTTCTTTCAACAACAATCGTTGTGGCATAATTTTGCGAATAAAGAATTAAGAATTGTGTTACACCAATATTAGCACCATGCAAATAGAGATAAACGGTATATCGTCCAACATATATATAGAAAAATATATTTACAAATATTTATATTAATCGCATTATGAAGTATTATTTGCAACACGAGAATTACATT